ATAAATGAAGTGGAAGGAAAGGGCCACTAACATTTTCTGGAACTGAAGAGAGATGGGTAAAATTAGAGCAAAACCGGAAAAGAAACCAGAAATTTACTAGTTAGAGAAAGGTATCATGATAGACACTGAAACGAGGGAAAACAAAACAAAAAATAAGGCTGGTAATAGCAGGGTTATCAAACTGACGAAATGTCCCCTGGCAAGGTCCATGGGAAGGCATCTCAGTTATCATTCTTCTACTGAAAGGGTGAAAGTATCATGTTTGTTACAGAAGGCTTAACCCAATTTATACCAAGTTAAGCACCAAGTTATATGAACTGTGTGAACATTTAAATTACGGAGGGCAAATAACTGAAAAGGGAGGAACTGAGAGCCCCCCTCAAAAAATCTGCCATTGTTTTGCTAAGTTCGTGTGAACCACCTACTCAAGTGCTTTATTCCAACCCCACATGGGAGGCACAGGAGCAGCTCCCAAGTCTTTCAAACACGCCTTCTCCCCTCATCTGCTTCTTTCCTCATGGAAGATCGGCAGCCGCAAGAATGCACCATTATTGTACTCAAGACAAAATTTAATTTAGAGTCTTAGAAGAAGGCCCTCAGCAAATGTTAGTGTTCAGGGCTTCATGGGTGGAGAATTAGGCATATTGCCGGCATTCATTACATGCGTATGGAATCAATGAGTAACTAAATGGATACATGAATAAACAAACATGGTTGACCCCATTGCTGCCACTGTGATATGACTTTAGAGGCAGTGCTGGGCAAGGAAGAGCTACAGCTGGGAAACTAGAATTTGCCCCGACATAAAGTACTCTGCTTATCTCTTGCAGATAGCAGCCACTCCCTTACAGTGGCTTGAGCCTTAGAGAGCTGAAGCTCTTCCCAGAGGTTTTATGGGAAGAGGGAGATACCACCTCATAAAAGGATCCTCCAAGGGATTTGGGGAAAAGGAGGGTGTGGTAAGCAGAAATATACCCCTGCCAAAGATGTTCACATTTTAATCCCTAGAGTCTATAAATATGTCATAGGACATGGAAAGGAAGTTTTCACGTTGCAGACGGAATTAAGATCACTCATCAGTTGAACCTGAGATTAGTCTGGATTATCCAGCTGAGCCTAATGTAATCACAAAAGTCTTTAAAAGGAGAGTGAGGTAGAAGAAAAAGAATGGTGAAATGTGGGAAGAATCTGACCTGCTGTCTCTGGCTTCATACATGGAGGAAGGGGTCTCAAGCCAAGGGATGTGAGCACCTTCTAGCTAGAAGATGGAAAAGGCCAGGACATGGATTCCCTCCTACACCTCCAGAAAGAAACACAGGCCTGACAACGCTTGGATTTTATCCGAGTGACACTCATTTTGGACTCTGAGCTCCAGAATGATAAGATCATACATGTGTGTTGTTTGAAGCTACCATGTTTTTGGTGATTTGTTAGAGCAACAATAGGAAACAGATGATGAGTGAAGGGGTCAGAAGGACTTGAGAGGCAGCTACCATGTTTTTGTCTTTACTGACTATGGGGTCTTAACAAAGTTATTTCATCTCTTTGAGCCTTCATGTTCTCATCACTGTAAGGGATTAAGACAGAGAACTCATAAAGCTATTTCATATATATATTTAAAAGAATCCATTTAGGATTCATTTTTACCACTAAATATACATTTAAATTTTTATGATGACTTTATAGGTTTTTATGGTTACGATGACTTTTTCTATAGCCGTTTTTAGGTTCACAGCAAACCTGAGTAGAAGGTACAGAGGTTTCTCATGTGCTCCCTGCACCCTGCCCCTGCACAGCCTTCCCTGACACCAGGGAGGGACATTTGTCACAACGGATGAAGAGTTTACATTGACACACCTTTATCACCCCAAGTCTAAAGTTCACATTAGGGATCACTCCTGGTGTTGTACATTCTGTGGGTTTGGACAAAGGCATCATGACATATGTCGACCACTGTAATATCAGCAAGGGATTTTCACTAACCTAAAAATCCTATTTGCTCTACCCAGTCATTCCTTTCTCACCCCTCATCCCTGGAAACCACTGTCTCCATGGTTTTGCCTTTTCTAGAATGTCATGTAGAGTTGGAATAATACAATATGTAGTCTTTTCAGACTGGCTTCTTTCACTTAGTAATACTCATTTAAAGTTCCTCCATGTCTTTTTGCGGCTTGATAGCTTATTTCTTTTTAGTGCTGAATAATATTTCATTGGCTGAATGTATCACTGTTTATCCATTCACCTACTGAAAGACATTTTGGTTGCTTCCGAGTTTTGGCAGTTATGAACAAAGCTGCTATAAACATCCATGTATAGGTTTTTTGTGGGCATAAGTTTTCAGCTCCTTTGGGTAAATACTAGGAAGTGTGACTGCTGAATCACGTAGTAAGATAATGTCTCGTTTTCTAAGAAACTGCAAAACTCCTTTCCAATCTGACTGCACCATTTTATACTCCCATCAGCAATGAGTGAGTTCCTCTTGTTTCACTTCATTGCCAGCAACTTGGTATTGTCAGTGTTCTGGATTTGGCCCATTCTAGGTGTGTAGTGGCTTCTCGTTGTCATTTTTAAAAGTGATTTTGGTATTAAATGAGATCTTTGAACCGCCCAGCTCCAGACCTGGCGCACCACAGGTGCTCATTATTGCTCTTCCCCTTCTGCTCTCTTCTTTATCTCCATCCTCCGCAGTCACTGAGCGTCAGGATGCAGTGTAAGGACCACCAAAGAAGAGAACGGGGCGGGGTGCGAAAATAAAATGAACTGAGAATAGAGAGTCAAGCCTGAGGGGTCTAGAACGCCTGCCACAAACCGAGGTTTCATAATAGGAAGGTAGGTAGGACTGGTTCTATCATTTGTGTATCAGAGAAAGAGAAGAAAAGGAAGGGGGTGGAGTTGGAGAATAGGAGAAGGTTTAGGTAGAGCAGGATAAGGAGAGAAGGAACAGAAAAAGAACACAGTATAGTTGGAATACTGGGTGGGATCCAGGCTGGAAGAAAACATGGTGTAATTTCCCTTGCAAGGGCACTGTGCCTCCACTCAAAAATGAGGGAGGGAAGCTGAGAAATCAGGAAGCTGTTCCTCTTTCTTTTTAGTTCCTGGTCCTACACCATCCTTCACTCTAGTTCAACATTACAGTAGGCCATATGCATTAACAAACATACATGAATTCACCAAAGGGAGATTGTGAGTATTGGGACGGCAAGGGAAGAGGGGTATGTACTTTTATGTGACATTCCAAAGGTTTAGGATGGACCTTTTCAAAGCAGTGAAGAAATGCTCTTTTGAGATTAGCTGAAGACTGATTAATTAAATTACATTCAGTCTCTGGACATTTCATTATGATTACTTTTCTGAAGTTGATGCTTATATGCACATGACACCCAAAGCACGTAAGAGCTCTACAATAAACGACAATGTTATGTTCTGTAGAACAGCCTCAATGTATGATGAGAAAAATACTTAGTTTGCTTAGTGGAAAACGCAAACTTCTAAGTCTGAACGATAACTTATTCCCTCTCATGACTAGACTTCCTGAGCCAATGTAGACTTCATGACTAGAGTTGTAAATGTGGCAGGATAATTTCTACATCCAAAATATAATAAAAATCATTGTTAGGGTTTGGAGGTACAGTGTGTTCAAGGATTTCTTATTAGATTTTTTGATGTTGCACAAGTTTAAATTGGTCATTTTATGTTAGGAAAAACCTATTTTTATTAACACATCAAATTTTAAGAAATAAATAGATTTGAAACCCATCTTTTTTCAATTAATTATGTATGAGAAAGGCATAAGAGGAAACCTCACAAAGTATCATTTCTTTTCAAGGAATATTTAGAAATCGCAAAGTGACCTCGCACTGCTTCGAAGTATATTAACCAGATTACTTCTCTGTTTCCTTTTACAAGCCAGGCTGAAATTGAGTTAAATATTATTTAAAGACACTCACTATTGAGATTTTTCAATGCTTTTAAAAGAAAAAAAAAAGTCTTCTAAAGTAACCATGACATGTTTAAGTAAATATTTTCCCCAAAAGTTCACTGTATAATTTAACTTGAGAAGATATGGGTAAACATGCAATATTTTAGGAAGTAATTTACCACTTCCTCTGATTTCAGAAAGCCCTTTAAAATATATAAAATCTGTTGCAATTTTCCATAACACCACTTTTTCTGAAGGCTTCCCAGCTTGGATAACCAATAATGCTGATATGTCGGGGAACCAGTGGGCACACAGATCTCAGGGAAAAAGAGGACAACCCACTGCTTCTCCCCTGTCTGCCTTTTGCTCCACCGTCCCCTAAATGACGTCGCTACTGAGTCCATAGATCAAAAGACTTCTCTTACAAATACAAACTTCTGTTGGAATATGCAGATTTTTTTTTTAAAGTCAACATTTACTTTGTATAAAGAGCTCTAGGTTTCTACCAGTTGCATGAGCAGCCGGTTTCTCTAACCCTGAAAAACAGGTCAACTAGTCAGCGAGCTGTTCTATGCGGGTACTTAGCTTCCCCCCCAAGAGAGGTCGGCTGGCAGCAGTCAAAACCAAAGTGGGAACTTAATAAAAATGAAAATTGTGGTAGCAAAAAACACTTACAAGGTTAATTTGACAGATTGCAAAAACTGGGGAGGTTATAGTGGTTTCTATATATCCACAGCCCTGATTAAGGAAACCCCCAAAGACGCAGCTGCATTTTGGTCCACAACCTGACTTGCTTGCACAGGAAACCCTAAAATATCAGAGTCTATACGTCTTCAGATGCTAGAGTTTGAGAATAACACGGACGGAACCTGCATGCACCTCTCACTGAGAAACAGCAGGACAAGAAAACCTATAGAAGTTACAATCATGTATTGGGCAAGCACTTAATTGCTCCAACGATGACATTGTTAATTTTGTTAATTTCTTTTCCTAGAGAATGGCAAAGAATGACAAAGTCCAATCAGTTCTCTTGGCCTATTCAGAAAATTGTTGTGCTCCTACCACTGATTCCTTTGATTACCTGTGAATATCTCCATTTCTGGCATTTGGTAGCAATAGGTTGAGGCAAACCTGGCAAAATGTTGTCCAGCTGCTGGAGAATTAATTCCTGCACATCCTCAATGCTGTGTTCCAAGTGTGTAACGCCAAACGGGACAGTGGTATGAATCACCAGGGAAGGCCCGATTTCTGATGACTCTGTAGCATTAAAGAAACATAAAGATACATCTAAAATTGGGTAGCATAAAACCATCTTCCAACACGTCAATCCAAATCATAATAATGAGGCAAAATGGAAGAAAACCAGATTCTAATCTTTAAACCATAAATTAGGCTATTTCTGAAATCCAATATCAAGCTTCTCTGAAGAGAAAGACAGATTCGAGATGCATTTTAGAGAACAAATTGTCAGGTTTTGCTGAAGAACTGGAAAGAAGGATAAGAATACTTAAAATGGATAGCTTTGGGTATAATCAAATTCATTAGTATGTGGGTCTTCTCTCATTCACCAAATTGCAAGCTCTTTAGGGTGGGATCCATTTTTTTGTAGTCTTTATCCTTCTTAAATTCTGAGAAGAAAGTAGATGGTCACTAAATACTTATCTCATTCATTTTAAGCTTAATGGATTGCAAAGTATTTTGCTGAAATCATACAAATGCCAGATTAAAATATCTTTACCCTTTTCACAAAGAAATGAAGCTTTTCTCTAAAACAGGCTTGTCTGGCTCGGTGCCTGTGGCTCTGTGCCAGCGGGTGCAAAATCCAGCCCGGGCCCGCCAAACAACAATGTGATGGCTGCAACCAAAAAATAGCCAGGCGTTGTGGCGGGCGCCTGTAGTCCCACCTACTTGGGAGGTGGAGGCAGGAGAATCACTTCAGCCCAGGAGTTGGAGGTTGCTGTGAGCTGTGATGCCACAGCACTCTACCCAGGGTGACAGCTTGAGGCTCTGTCTTAAAACAAAAAACAAAAAACAAACAAAAAAACACCCCAAACAGGCTCGTCTTCATTGTATTGTTCATCTTTTAAACAGCATTCAAAATAAAAAGTCTGCTTCATTCATAATACTTTCCATTTTCCTTGTCATTGAATTTTTTTTTTGCTATATTTTCATAATCAAAAATAATACGCATAAGCTTTGTATCTTTCAGTAGAATAAAGGCCAATCAAATTTTGAGTTGAAAACAGTTTAGGCAACTGAAGCATTAGAAAGCAAAATCTAGGAAGGAATGTTAACAAGAGTTTGTTTTTTCTTAAATCATGCAAAAGAGAATGTGGAGGGGAAAACAATAGATGTCAAACACAGGAAATATAATATGAAAGTCGGTGTTCCTGCCTGCTGGTGGAAAAGAATATGAAAGTGTGTAAGTCACTGACAGGAGTTGGCTAATCTGATTCTGCAAATTCGCTGAGATTGTAAAAGGTACTATAATGATCTATTGAGTTGATCTATTTGAGTTAGGTCCGAGGTCCGTACGGTTTTTACACGGGAAGAAAAGGGCTGACATAAGCCACTTACTTGCTGTGTATCCACTTAACCTCTTTACATTTCAGGGTTTTCAATTTTTTTTTTTAATAAGAATAAGGAAGTCTATGGCTGTGGTTTTGTGCCATGAGAGGATCTTAGGTGTGCCATGAAAATTTTTAAAGATCATTAATTAAATTATTTTTGAAGGAAGTTCAAAGCACAGTAAGTATATTCCTTTTCTCCACTTTTTTTTTTTTGATCAACATAATTTAAGTGTTCCACAGAAGTTTAACTACAAGTTCAAGTGTGCTGTGAGATAAAAAAGGGTGAAAAGCACTCGTTTATGGTATGGATTAAATAAAGTAACACAGTGCACATAAAATGCTCAACACAGTTTCTGGCACAGAGGAGTTGTTTAAGCTATGGGAACTGAAGCAATAAGCCAGATACCAGGGAAAAGTTTCCCAGGTGTAGCCCAAATTATAGGTGTGTGCTTTTTTTTTGTAAAACTACTTCTTTTCTCCATTGCACCTGGCACAGAAACCCTGGTTTACGGAGTTTACAGCAAAACACAAGGAAAGAGAGTCCCAACATGCTGTAAGGCTTTTTAAAGTGCAGTGAGTTTTTCCAGACAGTTTCACATTTGAGGTGAGGAATCTGAATTCTGAGTCTGTGCAGGCAATGCAATGGTAAGCTAGACTGTACGCTGCTTTTACTCACGGTAGCTGGAATAGCTTTTTTTTTTTTTTTTTTTTGAGACAGAGTCTGACTATGTTGCCCTTGGTAGAGTGTTATGGTGTCACAGCTCGCAGCAACCTCCAACTCTTTGGGCTTAAGCGATTCTTCTTGCCTCAGCTTCCCAAGTAGCTGGGACTACAGATGCCCGCCACAACGCCCAGTTATTTTTTTGGTTGCAGTTTAGCTGGCCCGGGCTGAGTTTGAACTTCCCACCCTCGGTGTATGTGGCTGGTGCAGAGCCAGTAGCTGGAATAACTTGAAAGAGGAAACAGAGGGGCCTTTGAACATTCGCTGTGTAACCTGCACAGAGGGAAGGACAAAGGAGGGGGAAATCACAAGTTCTTCCCAGAACACCCCCTGGTGAGAAACCTCTTGCATATTGCCTCAAGGAGTGTTATTCATGTTATCAGTTAATAAATTCAGGAGAGCTTGTTCACAGTGAGAGGGTATCAATGCCACCCCTCTCCCATGTGGAACCAGATCTTCCCAGAGACAGAGAAAGCTACTGGGTCAGCATTCTGAAACAAGAGAGTTGGGGCTCCAAGTTGACTTATCTATGGCAGGCTTCAGAGAAAACGAATGCTTGCTGCGTGCTGAGAATTGGGAGGTTGCACTGACCCAGCCACTTGTCTACGGGGAGCTTGTAAAGTCACAAGACCAGTGATGGTGTAATGCCAATTTTCTCCCATTTACATCAGCCATCTACTCCAAGGAGAGCAATAAAAAATGAAATTTAAGACCTAAAGTGAAACAGTCTTGCATAACAATGAGAACAACCTGGCTACTCATTTTTTATGGGAATTGGACAATTTTTTCTTTTTTAGAACTAAGATTGAACTTTGACTAGCTACAACCTAAAATGATTGCCTATGTCCCGGGGTAGTCTGCCACTGTCCCTGGAGTGTTGATAATGAGTTTTAGGGGAAACTCCCCCAACCCCAAATGAAAGGATAATTTTAGAAGCTAAAGTCTAAAAATACAAAGAGCTAAACAGAGTTTAAACATGACCAAGGTTTGGAAATAGACCATTATAAAAAGGCACAAATGTGTTAATAGGATTCAGAGCATAAATTTAGTATCATCATTATTCCTTGGTCACTGAGAAGCTAATAACAATACCATCTTTCTTTTTCTTTTCTTTTTCAGTTAACAAGAATAGTGCTTTGCTTTTGGCATTTTAAATGTAAAGTTCATAGTAAGTTGACAATTATTTCTGTGCTTTGGGAAATCAAAGAATGTGGAGTCAGAAGATAAGTATTTGAACCCTGTGGTCTTAGGACAACTTAATCTCTCAGGCTTCACTTTCTTCTGTCGTTTAAAAGTAGTGAAGGAGCAACACTACTTACTTTACAAAGCTGTCAGGAGGATTAAATGAGTTAAGCTACATAAAACCTTTCTTTAGGTATAGAGTGCTACACAAACTTAAGGCATTCCTAGGTAATATTCTTGTTTTGACCGTTACACTGTGGAAAGGGAAGCTTTAGAAATGGATAACAGAGTTGACGTCTCTCAGAGTATTAACATTGAGATTAAGATTGGGAATCCCATAATAGCATAAATGTATTTATGATCTATGTACAAATGACTTAATAAAAAATAAAATAAATAAATAAAAGGAGATTGGGATGTAATTACGTCAACATCCAGAGACAATGGCAGACTTCTCCAGGGTATAGGCACAACTTTCTTTTTTTTTACAATTATTGTAACAAAATAGACATAACATAAAATTTACCATTTTTACTTATTTTAAAGATACATTTCAGGGTCATTAAGAACATTCAACATTGCTCTGTTAACAATCATCACTGTCCATCTCCAGAACTTTTTCATCTTCCCAAACTGGAACTCCATATTCATTAAACAACAACTCCCTCTTCTCTCCTCCTGGCCCCTGGCAACCACCATTCTATTTCTGGCTCTATGAATTTGACTACTCCAGGGACCTCATGTAAGTAGAATAATACAGTATTTATCCTAAGTGATTAGATTATTTCACTTAGCAGAATGTCCTCAAGGTTTGTCTATGTTTTAGCATTTGTCAGAATTTTCTTCCTTTTTAACGCTGAATGATGTCCCATTGCATGTATATATTGCCATTTGTTTATCTATTCACCCTTAGATGAACACTTGGGTTGATTCCACCTTTTAGCTACTGTGAATAATGCTTCCATAAAAATTAGTGTACAAATGTCAGTTCAAGTCCCTGTTTTCTTTTCATTTCTTCTGTATAGATACCCAGGAGTAAAATTGCTGTATCATATAGTAATTCTATCTTTAATTTTTTGCATAATAATCATGTCATTTTTTACAGTGGCTGTACCATTTTCCATTCCCAGCAGCTAAGCCCAAGGGTTTCAGTTTCTCCAAATCCTTCTCAATGCTTTTCTGGTTTTTATTTCTTAAATAATAGTCAAACTAGTGGGTGTCAAATAGGCACAGTAGTTTGTAGTCTATAATTTTGGGTGGGGGTCAGACACTGAAAGCTGATAATAACAGTAGCAGCCCAGTAGCAGCACTATCATCTACTTTTTATAGAATTCTAAGATGTAGAAGGGTCAACCCTTAAATACTTAACCACTAAGAAGCTATGGAAGTTACTATCTAAACAGAACCTACAATTTGGTTTGGAATAAATAATCTAGCTGCCTCATATCCTTAGTCATAACAGTCGTAACAATAAATATTAACAGGTTAAATCGACTTAGTTAAAGACAAAGGTCATCATAAGAAGCCAAAAAATAACACACGAATACATTCTGCTTATAATAAAAGATATTTTTAAAGCAAATTCTAACTCAGTTGAATGAGAAGATGTTACCTGTATGATACTTTAAGATTTTCCAAGTGGCTTCATATACAGTCAGGTGTCACAAGTATTACATGTGTTTGAAGAGAATTTTCTAGACATTGAATTAACATTTTACAAAAGCTCACTAGAACAATCATACTAATTATATGGTTGTTATTAACTAAATTCTTACTATCTAGTT